TTGCAAGGGGAATCGCTCATTCTTGAGAACAATATTCCCGAGAACAAAATGCATTAATAACCAATGGAATAGACATGTTTCTAGGAATGTCATTTCATTCTAGGCCTAGCTATTTCACGAACCAAAAGTGTTGTGCATAGCTTAGTGAAAAGTGAGATTATCATTTCTCGGCAACGAGGGAACCCCATACCACTATCCGAGAGTGTTCACGAGATAAGTCCCGCTCTTGTAAAATAAAAGTCAAATTATCTTTAGAGTTATAATACATAGCTTTTGTAACAACCAAATTTGAATTTTTTTCAATTTCAATACATAAGTTTATTTAAGATCCACAAAATAATATGATGTATCATAAAAGTTTTTGAATGAAAATTATAATATAAATAATTATAGTTTGTAAGAGTGTATTCAATTTTAGAGTCTTAGTGACTTTTGTCAAATTTTTAAGATATATAAAATATCTATTAAAGTTAATAAAAAATTATTGAACAATTATAGTTTGTAAGTGTATTCAATTTTAGAATTTTAATGATTTTGTAAACTTTTAAGATATAAAATATCTATTAAAGTTAATAAAAAGTTTAATAAGGTCTAAATGTGTGTAATATTAAATTTTTATAAACTCATAGAAAACCTACGTTAGTCTAAAAAGATTTAAATTTATAAGAGTCATTTTGAAATCTAAAAGAGCCTATACTATAAGGGGTTGTTTGGTTAATAAAATGTTAAATTACCTTAGAGACGGTTAGATTTTTGAGAATGTTAGATTTCTATAAATGTTAGATTTTTGTATTTGATTAAAACTGAGGTATATAATATAAACCAGTTTGGTTGAGAGGTTATCTTTTATGTATAGTGGTTAGTTTAATTTAATATATACCATTACTATATTTTCATGTATTTCAATAAACTTCAAAATTAAGGTAACAAACGTTAAAGATAAAACAGAAATTACATTGTTAGAAGATAAAACAATTGTTAAAATGGCAAAATGAATAAAAAGGGTAAGGGAATCTAAGATTACCTAAGAGATATAATGTTATCACATTCCCTTCCAAATGGGTAAAAACATGATGTCGGTGTGAAGTTGTATTCTTTTGAGAAAATGAGATAACTTAAACCAAACATGAAAATGTTATATGACCAATCAAATATAACCCTTAGGGGTCGTTTGGTTCACGGAATGTCAGATTACCTTAGGGAATGTTAGATTGCTCGGAATGTGAGATTACTGGGAATGTGAGATTCATGTGTTTGGTTAAAATTGGGGTATGTAATATAATCATGTTTGGTTTAGGGTTCACACACTATAATATCCTTAACATATTTTCATATATTTTAATAAATTTAAAAATTAAAAATAAATAAATAAGATAACGGTATCATATATAATTACATGATTTTAAAATATTAACTAAAATATTGAACTTGAAAAATAAAATTATTTTATATGCTAACCTAACATAATAAAAATAAAAAATATATAATTACAAAAATAATTATATATATATATATATGTGTGTGTGTGTGTGTGTGTGTGTGTGTGTGTGTGTGTGTGTGTGTATGTGTGTGTGTGTGAGAGATAAACTAACATAACCAAGGTTATCTTACATAACCTTAGAAATTGAAGGGAATCACATTCCCTTCAAAATCCTATGTGGAGGGAATGTGACATTCCTGGGGAATGTTAGATTCCCTGAGTTAATGTGAACCAAACATAGGAATGTGAGCTTTGGAATGTCACATTCCCTTGGTTATGTTATATAACCTGAACCAAACGCCCCCTTATTGTCTTAAATAACTAGAACGTAACCAAACACCCCTAAAAGATTACAAAAACCATGATCAAATACCTCCGTTGGTTTTAATGTATTAGTCAACCAAGAAAAAATGACAAAATGATGCCAATCAATCAAGTATGATTGGCAAAATAAAGTTGGCAGACCAAAACATAGAAAAAGAAATCAACCAAAGCAATGCTGGTCAATGTTTATGAGTTGCAACATTAAACCAAATTTGATAATCAAATCACAATAAGTAGTATTACATTTGTACGTGTACTTGGAATTTTTTTTTTTTTTTTTTTTTTGTTTTTTGAATACTATTGACTCTATTACAATGTAATATCCGTTCATACATACTTTCTCAACCTACTGAAGCACAAAGAATCAATGTCGCCAGTGCACCCACAAACCTATCATTTGAGGAGCCACAGCTATGCTGCTCGACTACAAGGCCTTTGGCTGCACTTGGAACATTATATATATTCTTATAACAATTTTGTAAATCAACTTAATGGCGAACCAATAAATTATTAAAAATTTTTATTATGGCAAACAACATCATGGACTCAATTGAAAAAATATTTGTAAAAATCAAATTTATAATTTTTTAAGTGTGAGACTTATGTTTCATCCTCTCGAACCCCATTTTCAAGACTACATATTTTAACAACTTTAATTCTTCTTGATATATATTAAAAAAAAAACAAACAAAAAAAAAAAACTCTTGATATATAGTACACATAATAGTTTCATTGGCCAACTCAAAAAAACCTTTGACCAAAGTTTTCCGTTGGTCTTTCCCTCGGGACCTATCATTATATCAATTTTTATTAATTTATTTTATTTTATTTTAACCCCAAAAAATAAAATTGCTGTTGAGATGTAATAATGGTTTAGCAGAAGTTAAGGTCCACTTCCTGCCACCTGGGACTCTTCAGTCATCAATACTTATTGTGTGGATTGTTGTCCACAAACTATGTAGACTACGGTCCAAAACAACGTCGCTTTATGTATTTTTTTATGCGACTCAATGCAACATATATTTTTATAACTCATAATGTATATTATTTTAAAATATAATGTACATTATTCTAACATATAGAATATATTATTCAATTCTAACTCCTAAAATTCAACGACATCGTTTTGAACCGTGGTCCACACACTTGTGTGACCCACGATCCACACAATAATTTGCCAGATTCATCAGTCATTCAGTGGCCAAAGTAGGGTCTGTGTACAGAACCGAAGCAACTGATCAAACTGTCCATCTGATCTGATTCTCCAAAATCTAATAATTTCATTAGCTGACCCGAAAGGATAATGTAATTAATAAAATAAGGATGTCTTACAGCCTGGCATTTGGCCTCCATCCCAAACTTCAAAACTACATTGTTACATTGCTACTGGCGGCCTTCCCCTCCCTTCCTGGGATAAATTTAGCCTGCCCAGCTTGTATTCATTCAAGAAATCTGTCTGGTTTTTAGTATGGGTGAATATATATTATCCCAAATTTTTGTTTTTTTTTTTTAAATCTTATTTTATAAACATTACTTGTTATAAATATTACAATCCTAATTGAAGTAGGAATTTCTCACTCCTAAGCTTAACTTGAAACAGTCACATATTTCGAGTTCTTGAAATTGTAATGTATAAATAAATAATGTGCAAATATATGAATGTATGTATATGTACATGTGTGTAGATACAGAAGTAATTAATTTAATTTCCATTTCATCTATAAACACATAAAATCATCAAAAGAATAGATTATATATGAGCTCCCCATTATATTATCCCCAGCTAACGTAATCAGAATCTGCAGGTAGGGAGTTTCATCCATCCTCAAGAAGATGGGAAAAAAAAACACAAAACTTTCATCCACTTAAGGGGGAAAATTAAAATTAAAATCATTCTTAATTTCATCAAGATTTAATGATATATTTGATGAGAGAAATGTAGGATTTATTGTACTGGGCTAGCTAGCTACATTGTGTGATTGTGAAAACACATAGGCCGAGGAGGGAATCTAACAGTATGCAATTGACCAAAGAAAATAAAGAAAGTGATGATCTGCAAATCACCTTTTCGATGAAATTAATAATAATATGTTTAACCAGACATACATGTATAGATATAGAGAGAGAAAGAGAGAGAGAGAGAGTAGAGTAGAGTACCTGGAGCTGGAGAACTCATAGAGCTTTCCTTTAGGGGAGAAGACGATGAGGGCAACTTCGGCATCACAAAGAACTGAGAGCTCAAAAGCCTTTTTGAGAAGCCCACTTCTCCTCTTGGAGAAAGTAACTTGCCTGCTTGTAGCATTCTCTATCCTTTTCATCTCAGTTTTTCCCCTTACCATTTTCTTCTTCTTCCTTTACTGTAATGCTCACTGGAACTGTAGCAAATTTACTAAAAAGAGTTAGGAAATCAACAAGTGTCTGTCTGCGTCAACAAAATCAAGAAACCAGAAAAACAAATTCACCCCAAAAAAAAAAAAAACAGAAACTTTCCAAAAATAGAAGGGACTGAAGAAAGTCAAGAGTATATTAAAAACCCCAAAAGAGGAAAACCAGGCAAAGACCTTTTCTGGGTTTCTTCAGATCTGAGAGATGGAAAACAAAAGTCTGGGAGGTAAGAATGGATTCTTCATCAGAAAACCCTAAAATGGGTAATAAGAAAGAGAAATATGTTGTCTAGAATTTCTTTTTTAAGAAGAAGAAGAAGAAGAGAGAGAGAGGTGGATGGATATTTATGGTGTTTTGCAGTTTGCTGGTCCCTTACCCCTAATGCTTGGTTGAGTTGCAGCCATAGAATATAAATGATTTAAGGAAAGAATAATGAGACCCAAAACCTCATCTCTTTCCTCTTTTTGGTAAACTTTCGAGAAGCACTACAACGGACGCCCCGAAAAAGAAATGCACCAAATAAAAATGGAAACTTAAGTTACAACTGGATACCAATACACACCTGTTTTTTTTTTTTTTTTTTTGCAAGCACACTTTATTTCTTTATTCTTTTTCAGATTAAATTCCACCAAGAGGTCACTTTGGTGGTAATTTCAAATTTAGTGTCAAATTATCATTTTTGCTATTTAACATTCCAAATTATTATTTTTTAGTCATTCTTATGACTTTTCTTATTTTCTGTAAGGACATTTTTGTATCTTTATATTTTTCTTTTGTTATTTTTCCGGTTTCAATCGGTTTAATTGATTTAGGACTTTACTAAAAACTGGTTGAAAACTATAATTACTAAAATCAGATATTATCTAAAGTTCTAAACCAATTAAACTGGTTGAAATCGGAAAAATAACAAAAGAAAAATATGAAAAAACAAAAGTGTCCTTACTAAAAATAAAAAAAGTCATAAGAAGGACTAAAAAGTCTAAAAACTAATAGTCTGGGATGTTTAATGACAAAAAGATAGTTTAGAACTAAATTTGGAATTGCCACCAAAGACAAGAGAGCTCTGGTGAATTAACTCTCTCTTTTTATTGATAATTTATAAATGTGGTAATGCACTAATACTTCTCTCACATGTTATAGTTTTTTTTTGGGGGGGGGGGGGGGGGGGGAAGAAAAAGAAAATAAAATAACAATTGTAGACTCAATTTTTCGACAAATTTTATTGTGGACCATGGTCCAAAACGGTGTTGTTTTTTTTAATGAAAAGAAATGGAACCCGTTCCGTGTAATTAATTATGTTTGTATAACATCTTCAGTTTCATTTTATATACATTGTAGTTTTATTTCAGCACAATTAAAGTTTCATTTTGTTTCAACTACAGTTTCATCTAACATTATACATACAATAGTCTTAGAAAATACATTTACTAGCAGCTAGCTAGCATCATTACAATAGTCTTAGAAAATACATTTACTAGCAGCTAGCTAGCATCATTTTCCAAATCATTTGTTTTCTTTCTTCGCAAAACTTGGAGCGGCATGGGTTTTACGAAACTTGTGTTGTTTGGAGTAATAGAATTGAAGTTTGTGAAACCCCTGATCTATTGCGTGGAGGAATACAAGTCTTGTGAAACTCGTATTATTGTAGCACATTTAAGTTTCTCACACTCGTACTGTTGTGCAGTACAACAAATTAGAAATGTGAGTTAATTCTGATTAGCTATATATGGAATTAATTATGATTAACTTTAAATTTTTATTTGAGAATTAACTTTGTAAGATCATAATTAATCTTATTAATTTGCCAAATATGGGAGTTGCACGTTTGAATACCATGACCGTTTATGAATTTCATTTCTCCTATACATACATTGTGTTGAGCATAATATTTTGTGTGACTTTTTAAAAACATCAAAGTATTACGGAGTATATGTTTTTCCACGAAAACAATATCTGGTCTTCTTTCTTGAGATTATTTTGTCAACACTTCACGATTAAAATTAGAAATGTATTGTTCACCTTCTTCAAGCTCGTTGGAAGTAATATATCTGAGTGCTAGAATATATTGTTGTAATTCATTGTATCTCAGAAAATCGGCACTTCAATGCTTTTAGCACCATCAGGATTAAATGAATTGATTTTAAGAAAAGTGTGAGTATTATACAGATTGGATTTCGTTGGTATTGATGAGATAGAATTATTTTTCTGAAAAATTTGTTAGTGTATATTTCGGTCCTAAATATTTATGTTTCAACTTGTTAATTGTTTGTATTAAAAGCCATTTGGTATGTTGAGCCTCCTTAAAACTATGTGACTACTAAAAAAAACGTGAATTATATTGTTGTTTACCTGGGTTATGTTTGGCAGAGCTTATTTAGAAATTTACAGTTTATTTTAAGTTATTAATAAACTGTAAGCTCTGTTTGGTAATGTTCCCAAAATAAATTAGTAGCTTAAAATAAGAGCTTATTTTGAAATGCTACATTAGATAGCGTTTCAAAATAAGTTAATTAGTAACTTCCTAAATTTTTTTCCATCTCTATTCTTTTTATTTTAAATAAATGACATCATTTACCCTTCTTAATTAAACTCTTTTTTATTCGTAAAAACAGAGATTTACATAAAAAGAAAGAAAGAAAATTTAATATATATCTCATATATATTATAAAAACAAAAACTTTTTTTATAAATTAAATATATCTCATATATTTAATAATATAAAACAATATAATAATCATATCATTTAAATTGTACGAAGATCAGCCATGGTGGATATTTGGCAGCCAAGAATGGACCTCTAAGATGTTTTAATGATGCACATTTGGCTGAAGCTCTAGCGATCAAGGAAGCCCTGTCGTGGGTTAAACATGTTGGTCATCAGAAAATTGCTATTTTTTCAGACTGCCAAGTGGTGTGTAGGACAATAGTTATGTTGTGCAACAAAACGACGTCGTTTTGACTAAAAACGCTCGTCCCATTTAAAAAAAAAAAATCTGTTTCGATTCCCCTCAACAGCAGTATTGTGGATATATAGTTATGAATTTGTGGATATATAGTTATGAATTTATGGATATTTAGTTCATTCATTGTGGATATGTAGTTCATTTATTGTGGATATTTAGTTCATTCATTGTGGATATTTAGTTCATTCATTATGGAGTTTGTGTTATTCATTCACTGTGGATATATAATTATGAATTTGTGGATATATAGTTATGAATTTGTGGATATATAATTCAAATTATGCACAAAAAAATGCTATTGCCGGGAATCGAACTTGATTTTTTTTTTTTTTTAAAGTGGGACGCGCATTTTTAGTCAAAACGACGTCGTTTTTGCAACGCACGACATAATTTGAGGTGTGTAGGATGCTCAACCATGCGTCATTGGATTTTTCTTTTGCGGGTTGTGTTATTCGAGACTGTAATACTCTCAAACGACACTATGATACAGTGTCTATTAGTTTCGTACCCAGATCAGTGAATAAGTTGGCACACGTTCTAGCGAGGGCAGCTCGTTCTAACACTGACTCTACTATTTGGTTGGACTCTGTTCCTACTTGTATTACTTCTATGATTTAATAAGATGGTTTAAATTTCCTTTCAAAAAATAAAAATAAAATTACGAAGATCAGATGTCTTTTTTTTTTTTTTTTTTTTTTTTTTTTTGTCTTTTTACACTTAACAGCTTATCAAAAAGTTAATTTTATCAAATATTTTTAAGCATAATCAGCTAGTTAACAGATCCTTAATTTTCAGCTTCAAACTTATAAATTTTTAGCTTTCAGCTACTTTTTCAGCTAGGTTTGCCAAACATAGCCCTAAGAGCATCCACACTTGTGCATATTATGGGGAGATTTCAGAATGAATTCTTCTCAATGGGGAGCAAAGCTAATGTAGGGGAGAATTTATTGAAGAAGAATTCATCTGCAAGAGAGAAAATATTGCGAAAACCAAGAAAAAAGAAAAAAAAATGTATCTGACTTGATGTGCGCGTTTGGCTGCACGCGCCCGGCTGCGCGTCAGGCGCGCCGCACTTCTATTTTTTATTTTTATTTTTGTTTTAATTTTTCTGATTTTGATTTTTTTGTTTTTTTTTCCTCCCCTTCTCACATTCTCTCTCCTAATCACTCTTACATTATCCACACATTCTTTCCAACCAATGTGGATGCTCTAAAGTAGATAAAATCTTCATTTTTCCCCCACAAATAGGAGTTCCAACCACTTTATGTGGCGTGTGTAGAAAACATTTTTGGCATAAAAACATTTTTGGAAAATTTAAAATTGTTATAAAATGGAATTAATTTCCAACAGCGACATGATTAGACAAAAATGTCACTCCAATCTCGTCGACAAGAAAAGTATTAATGGCTTTGTTGTTCCAACCATCACCAAAGAAATTGCATATTCATTTTGGCAAACCCAATCCAAATTTTTTATTTCCTCCAAAATTTTTAGAAATTTCATAAATTAGTCTTCCTTTATTATTTTTTTTTGGCCAAACATCAACTACTTGACGACAGCTATAATAATTTTAGCCTGCATGAACTTAACTCATTGGTTCAGTAGGTAATATTTAAAAAAGTGATCAAAGTTCAAACCTCAATAGTGACACTATAAGAATTATGCTCAAAGTGAGCAAATCCTTTGTGTGTACCAGGTTACCATCAAATCAAAATCCAACTAGAGGAGATCGAAAAGGCTTGATTCAAGCCCGAGCTCGCGTTCGCCGGCACCTGCGGGCACGATTAATTCCAATTTTAAAACTGAGTTTAATCCTATTTAGTGGGTGATTGTTACAGGTGTTACACAATCTGTGTTCCAGCTTTGCTTTGTTTGTCGGGTTCTTTGTTTAGGTGCTTAAACAAAGAACCGTAGCACGTTTTATCCTGGGAAACCTAGGCTACAACGCTCCTAGCACTTGTGGGAGGTAGCAAATAAGGTTTTAAGAAAAAGAACTTTGTGTTCGAACTTGTGCTAAACCTATACCCCAACACTCAATCTTTTCCTTCCCAGTTTTTCTGTTTTCCCATACAATAATAATTTTTCTGTAGAATTATTATTTTGGGATTTTTCAACCATATTACCCAACATTAACTATAATATAATTCCATATGTTATGCCTGTCATGGAGGACAAATCCCGATTTAATTTCTAAAATTAGATATTATTCATGATTTTCTTTAGGAAAAAGTGTCAAATTGGCCCCCTAAGTCGAGTGGATAGTGCAATTGGGTCCACTAAGTGAAAAAAGCTCCATTCAGGTTCCCTAAACCTGTAAAAAATTGTTCAATTAAGTCCAAGTTGATATGTTTATCAATTTAAATGCATACGGTGTTGACACGTGTCCTTATTTTATTTTTAATAAAAATATTATTTATTATAAATTAATTAAAATAATAATAATAATAATAATTAAAAAAAAAAAAAAAGCAGTCATGGCCAACGAAGGAAGACGGTCATGGCCGTCTTCCTTAAACAACAGTGGCCGGACGGC